TCCTAAATGTGAAACTGAATACGCTTTCGATTTCAGGGAAAGGTTGTCACCACGGAATTGAAGCAATTGAAGTTGAATTTTAAGGAAATTTTATTCTTTAGGTATATACATGAGTCAAAATTTTTGAAGAGGTTTCATCATTGTTTGAGACCCAAATCTACCCAGTGGAAGATATTGAGCCACAACTCTTTCGAACTGAGTTTCTACGAATAAGTCATTTTAAATGTTTATAATTGTCGTTAATTATTCCTTTAGGACGGGCCATGTAATAAGTAATTGTTTATCACTAAGACTATACAAACACCAGCTCATTGTTTCCAGTACCACTTTTATGGGATCATAATAATATGGAAAATTTTGAAACTGCTCATATCAAAATTACGAAATTATCCATCTAAACATGAAGTCGCCTCAAGTGGAGCTCTAGGTTTTCGTATTTCTTGTATCATTAAAACTGCTATGTTGATCTTATACCTTACCGCGACGATGAAACAAAGTAGTCAGGGTAACTGTAATTAAGTTGGACTGAAGATAACTTTGGAATTGCAAATAATATTAAAAGCTGGCAAATATGATTGGAAGTTTGCTTTAAATAATTAAAAACCAGCGCTCAGCTAAGTTTTGGCAGAGATTGGCATTTTTGAAGGTCAGAACCAGGTTCTTACTTGATCAAACAGCGTTTCGAAACATTAGTGAGTCTGCGTTTCTAATACTGATCTGACAGTGTTTGTGACAAGATCTATATGTCTTTGATAACACAGTAAGCTGAGTGAGGTTCTTGAAGAAAAGGTCCTCTTCAAAATAGCGAGTTATGACAACGAATCACTCAGAGAGGTAAGCTTATACAAGACAAACGTTTTCCTTCAGTTCATTCGTCAAAAAAAACGAGAATTGAAAATCATTTTCATTTCATTTCATTTTCATCAGTTACAACACTGAGTAACTATTTAATCTTCCAAGAAAGTGAGTAACGCGCAGTTCTTTTCAGTCGCAGATTTCAAAAGTCTAAGTTTTGGAAGGACGGGATGTTTCTTTATTTATTTTCGAAAAAAGTCATAATGATCTAAGGAAAGATAAGTTGCACATGAAATATGAAAATTCGTAACCATAGTAAACAAATCAAAAAATTTCAGATGATTTTGAGTGCTACAATTTCATATAAACAAATCTAAAACTGATAAGGACTGGAAGAATAAAGCAAGGCATTGAAATAGGGATGGCGTGGTAGGTGTTATTTGAAAGAGCATATTAATTATTTTAGAGTTTTTCTGCATACATTGCCTGAAGTATTTTTCAAGACACTTGGCATAAATAAGGAGAGGAAATTACTTTTTGTACACCTGCTGGCAAAGAAGGATTGCGATTATGCATCTTTACAGTTACATACTTCTAAGCTAAATTTAGAAACCTGGAAATATGTTAAAATAAATGTTCTCAGCAAAGATTAATCTCCGAAGTACAACCTGTAAATAATCATGCCGAACTCCGGTTAAGGAGATTCTTTACATCCGATAGAACTTCTGCCTTTCTGCCAACGGCATTCCCATGCCTGTCCCCTCTTCCGAGCTTTTAATTGATGGCAGCGAGTTGCGTCATAAGCACAATCCCTTTTAATTTAATCTAGGGGTTCCCCCGGTTGCACCGAGTGAAAATAGATGGAAGCTTAAGGGTAAATTTCATTTGGTTCGATGCTACCCACGCGCTGATAATCTTCTTGAAATTTTATGCAATTCTGGTCTGTATTGTTTCCTAATTAAACAGTGAGAATCCATAAGGTACAAAAATAAATTTGAATCAGTTCTCCTCTGCCTGTGGGCTATTAACAATGGTCCTGGTGATTCAAGTAAACATTGTAATCGACATCAGTTCGTGGGTGAAAACTGATAGTCGTCAAAGGAAGGGACTCGGAATTAAACTGAATTACACCTATACACATTTATCAATCAACTTCGTAATCAGGCAGTGGAAGAATTTACCTCAAATTGTGGGTGAGTCTTTTGAGGCTGCTTTTATCAAGAGGAAAGTCTAGCCCAGAGAATGAAATAATATAAAACCAGTCTAACTGATATAGGTTCCGTGTTTACCGAATTTGGCATGTTCTCATAAATCCATGCAAGTCCTTCTGGAAGTTCTAAACGATAAGAAAATAAGCAGAGTAACAATAATTCTTACAAAAGAAACAAAAGTTTTCAGATTTCAAAACATGTTTTGGCATTACCAGTGTCATCTTCAGTTTCAAATGGTCGTTGCGCAATTTGAATTTACACTTCACAAATTTCTAAATCCTCATTCATTATCCAGACAGTAGGTCCTCCTAATAGAATTCATGAAATATTTCAATCAGCTATCAAGTGTTGATCATTCTGCGAAGAAGTACTTTTAATTCAGTGGTTTCTCTTTGTGGCATAATATTCGACTTTTCTGGGGAAGATTTGCAAGTTCGAGATCAAAGGAAAAAGTAAGAGATAACTGAATTAAAACTTTTACGGCAATTTGACGTATTATGCCCACACCTACAAAACGTTCCTCATTACCATTCGAAATACTTTATTTCCATCCTTTTCGTTCACCGTGAGCCCACTACTTGATCCGTAAATAACTGCTCACAAATAAAGATCTGCTCATGGGCAATATGACAGTGTTTTGTGGAAAATAAGTAGTTAGTTTTGTGAAAGCTATTCTGTTGAAAAAGGTAGATCACTTCCTAAGATATGAAAGAGAGATTTCCGGAATAAATTTTGAAAAACAAAAAAACCATGCAAACCTAGTAATTGACTAAAAACTTGTAGAAGGGAGTTATTTCCATTCATCCACAAGCTCTTAAAAGTGTCCTTAGAATTCTTGATAAAATATACCGCTCGTCTTTCTTCGTAATTTCAGAGGGCGACATATCATCTCCGCCTCAATAAAAGGGAGAAAAATAAAAAAGTGTAGCTGAAACTCATAGCAACCGGCAGAAACATAAAGCCGACAAAGTAGTGCATAATTATTATTAAGTTAAACGTTTTCATCCACTTTTTCACTCGGTGAAACAGAAACAGAAATATTAGTGCTTTCTGTAGAACTCCTGTCAGCTAGTCGTAAAAATTCTGGTAAAGAACATTATTATGTAAAAGAAAAATCCAGAGGTGAGTTTTCATCTGTTGCATGCTCTGTTAGGTATTGGCAATGGTTTTAGATGGTCTGTTTTATTCAGATTAGTTGCTGAGTAATATGAAACGTTTCCTTGAAATACGCGAGAATATTTTTGGGATATGGCTTCTCACTGATGCAATACGGTTGATGCCTTGCGTATCGCTAAAAAAAAAACTGATTATTTTAAATTCAAACGCGAGCTTGAGAGCGTCAACGACGAGTAAGTAGGTCTTGTTTATATCAGTAATGTTGCACTCAAAATTCCTTCACAAACATTGCGAAGCAACCAGGCAGTATTGAGAATCAAAACTGGGCGGATCATATCAGAAAAGGAGATCTGCCATAGGAGTTTGCTAAAGATGCGCCAACAAGATGTTAAATTTCTTAAGTGCAGCGTAAACATTTTAAGTAATGATTTGTACAAACTTGCTTTTAGATGGGTTGGACAACAAATCGGTTAGTTATCCAACGTCATTTTCCTATCTTGATTTGAATTCACGAGGGCGAGCGAAAAAGGTGTGATTTGCAGCTCACTCGATTGACCATTGATTGAACTTCAAGAGGTAAATAATTGTTGTATATAATGTTTGAAAAGCTAATTAACTGGCATACAAAGTCGCTTCTCAGTTGCAGGTTTCAGTGACACATGTATCTCAAGAAATATTTTCCACGTTTATTAAACTACGTGATTATAGTGAGGTTCGTAACTTAAAATATAATTCAAAGTTGATAAAGCTATATTAAGCGGATTCCTTTGTTTGCATACTGTGCAAACGATGCTGTTTCAATTTCAAACGATTTTTTTTTAAATTGTTCACTGATAGATGAATAGAACCAAAGAGGTCAGTAAATTACCGGACTTTCGAATCACAAGCACGTTTTTCAACTGAGAATCTAGTTATTTACTTCAGGCCTCTCGCTGTCTTTCGTTTAAATGTGTCACAAAGTGCTTAGCATCAATTATAAGTGAGAAAAAAAGTCTGCCCACCTGTCATGTGCTCGCACACTATTGAACATTACAGCGAAATAAATCTCAGCTAAAATTTGACTTAACGCCGCGGAATTAAATCTAGCCTTGTGTTTCGATAAACAATACATCTTTCAATTTGCCAGAAAAAGACATTTGCGACGTACGACTGCAATTCCCACAATGCCGAGACTTCATTGTGAGGTTGATTAAGGTTTTATATGTGAAACGTGATTAAGCCAAAAAATAATACGTGACGCGTAAATTTACAGATAGGCAAAGTAGGAGATCCTCTTTGAAAACCATATCTATATGAAAAAGTCACCTCAATGAAGATTATCATTACAATACGGGTGCTCTTTTCTACAGCAGTCACGGTGCATGTGCCTTTAGCATGTTCCAACATTTTGATTCGGCGGAGAGCTAAGAAAATGTCAACTGAAAAAGGCTTGCGAGTCAATTTCATTTTTCCTTCGCTCTCCCGCCTCGCCTGCCTCGGCCTGTTGGTGATATTGAGGTGGCTTGTAGGGAGTTTTAATAAGAATACCAAGTATGGGTCAGCGTAGTGCGAGAGAGAAATCTGAGTCCATTCTGGTCGTTTAAAAAGAGATGGCGGTGGCAGATAGGACGCCTCTTGTGGAGGGTAGGATAAATTTTAATGAAATCAGGGTCATTTGAGTTCTAATCATCCTGGTGATCATTATCATGCTCTATAATACAACTTTCCACTTTATCAGTTTCTCACACTGCGTCATTAAACCTCTTTTGTTTTCTTGTGCTAACTCAAAAAGGTGTTGATCATCCATATGTAAATACAGCTGCTTCGTGTTATCACGTATTTAAGCGGCGTTGACAGGGTAATGTGTTTTACATCGCCAACTATATAAGAAGGTTGGATTAAAGACTTAGGCATTGCAGTTGGCTATGTCGCCATATCATGATGCACTATGATCATAAATCAACGCATTCTAATAGAGGATAATAGAGGAATAACAATAGAGGAAGACCAGCACCATACTTGACGAAAGATAAGCGAAAGATACGGCGGTGAAAAGGCTACAAGCGGTAGTGCTACTTAAAACGATCTTATGAGTATGGCTGCTAAAGAAACAAAACGGTGGGCGAGAATGGTGTTTCCTCCGCGGTCATACAGGTAATTGAAAGCGCAACTTTGATCTGATACAAAGGAAAAGCCCTTAATATTTACTGTTCAAAACGGCTCTTACATCTTGGAGTTCGTGGTCAAGTTTGTAGTGGAGCCAACAAGAGATATATGAAACGTTGATTTTAGCAGAAATTTACCATTATGTGATTTAAAGTAAATACTGAACTTGATGACTATGCAGATCGTAGTATGACAACATGCGTAATGTGACGATAAAATGACAAACTTCTTTACGTAAGTGCCGAATTTACCGGAAGGATATCAATCAAGTTACAAATGGATTTTTACATGAGTTGTGGCCATAAGCAAAGTAACGACATTTTCCTGATAAAATTTAATCTGACCGATGTTGTTGGCAAATTTTTGGTCAGCTGAATCATCATATTATGCAACGAATATAGCGAAGCAGTGGTTTAAAGGAAAGATACTATGGTTTTATACGCAGCCTATTTTATTTTCCTTCAAAAATGTATCTTTAACGGAGTGCACTGAAAGTTTAAAGCCACACCGTCTTAAGTCTGGGAGCTTAGTATTAAAATGTATAATGAAGTAAAGCTTTGACTTGGCAACATTTGAAATACCGCTAGCTAATACAGGTGTACGGTATTCTCATAGCTTTTTAGTGATAAACTTTTGCTCTCTTTCGTTCGGACGCATTTTTTTAATCCGGATTATCTCAATTACATTATCATAAATCGTTTTAAGAACCTCTGCTCTATGATAAATTTCTCACTTTCTGAAAGGATAATTAAAGGCCGGAGCTATCAGTCATGATTTCATTGCATCCTTCAGCTTTTTAAAGAAAAGTGTTCCAGTGTGGATGACAATTCTGTTCAATCAACTTACAAAGAATGGTGACTGATCGTGCGTACACTGATTTGAATATGAATATCAAGTTATGTGGACTTTTCACACGGCTTAATGACTCCTGTGTTGTTGACATAAGCACAACTAATAAAACTGAATGTGTAAATGTGACGTGAGACCGAGGAAACCGAAACAAACCGGAGAAATTTTACTCATCTAAAGTTGAAGTTGGATTTTCAATCTTCTTGAAAATTATTGCAATTCAATATAAAAGCTTGATGTCTGTTCCTCTGCTCTTCCCAAGTTTTCATTTACGTACACGGTACTAAATCCTTACCTAATCGTTAAATTTAAGTCGACTCTTTGAGTTCTAGACTCTGTCATAGTCTTTAAACAAATTTTTTAAAGTTCGTTTGATCTGCACAAGGTCTTGACGAACGCACGTGCTCTCTGCTCAACGAGACTATTAATTATTTCGCTGCTGTACTTAAACAAATACATTTCATTTTTTCGTTTGCCTGTCAAGATTTTAGATGAGAAATGATGTGAAAAACTTGGTTTCACGACCTGCAATGGATTGTATCCGATTTTCATGCCATACCAGTTTCAGCGTCATATATAACCTGTCTCTGTAAAGACACACGACAAGATGTACTCTACCGCACACGCTCTAATAAATCCTTCTCTCTGTTTAGCCCCCTTCCGAGAACTTCGAAGCAATCATAGCGCGATCAGTTCTCATCTCATTGTCTACCATCTAATGGTGCTTTTCTTTCAGCACGGAGCTAACATCTGCAACATCAAGAGTATCCTCTCCCGCGGACCCCTGGAAAGTGAACGCTGAGATAAACTCAAGTCAAGCTGACCTCATAATGACAAAAAACAAACGATCTCTTAGAGAGTTACTCTACGAGTTTGCAGATGGAACCAGTGCCCATGGTGTGGGCAAGATAGGTTCGACCGCGAAAGCCAAATCTTGGTTTTGGTGTGGTTTTTGGGTACTGGTGACTCTGACTTGTGCAGGTATGGTGATATCTCAAGGGATTTTGTTATTGGAAACATATCTCGACAAACCAACGAAGTCTGATATTGACGTCACGTACGTGAGGGTGAGTCATGCGGACGTTGTTTTGCTTACTTTTGATGTTACTGGGTTTTTTGTATTGTAATAGATATTGTCTATTTAAATCTATTTACTCATTTATTTGATTTGCGAATCGGGAACGTGTAGTAGTTGTGAGTTGTGGGCTAATTATTTGTAAAAAGTGATACAGATATCTCAGGGCGAGAGAAAGGCTGCGCGAAATTTATACTGTGGAACAAAAAACTAGAAAAGAAAAATAACATATCGTTCCCTCTTCCCATATTGCAATTGCCAGTGTCTGATATTTCAGTAATGTTTTAGTGGCGATCAAGTTATGTAAGTATCAGAGCCAAAATCGGAAACAGGATAAAAAAAGAGAGGAAGGATATCAAATCTATGACCTTCCCATTGCTACCAAGGTTGCTCTACCCGAACACTGACTGACTCTTCAAATCCCAAGAGTGACCAAGACAGCATTTCTTGTTACAACATCAATAATACACTGTCAAGCAGATAAGTGACGAGAACACAGAGAAAAATATCAATTAGAGGGTTTTTAGATGATCCAATACCGATTTTCTTAGGTAACAACATAAGAATTACACAGCAGACTGTGGGGAAAATTGCTATGAGATCTTAGGGGCGAAAAAGTCAAACAAGGTTAAGGTGTAGATTTTCATTAAAGCTCAGTTCTATCCCCTAAACCAAGATTGTCTGTATTACACCTAATAATCAGTTTTTATCATCCCTCTATTCTTTTACAGACAGTTCAATTTCCTGCAGTGACCATATGTAACCTTAACATTATAAGGAGATCCAAAATTCGTTCTTTTGGGGACACAGAAGCAATCGTGAGCACTTTTGACAAATTTATGGAGCGAGAACCGCCAAAAGACGGACATGAACACGATAAGGAAGGTGCAGCAGCTAATCAGTCGAGTTCCAGCAGTTCATCAACCTCATTCGGTCCTCCGGACAGACAAAAAGAAGCCATGAAGGAATCTTTAAAGATTGACGATTCAAATGCCGAGGAACACATGAGATTGAGCAATGTTACGGTCGACGAACAAGCCTACGCTGAATATCTGATTCTAAGCACGTTAGCCAAGCAAAACATAAGCGATTTAATGGATGCGGGACATAAATTTAATGAATTGGTGTTTCGTTGTAATTGGAAAGACTTTTCGTGTAAAGATGGGTAAGT